GCTGCTGTTGGTAGTGAGCTCAGTGCCCAGGGACAGCCCATCTCTGGGGGATTTGGTGGCTTTGGCTATGGCCGTGGATTTGGCTACGGGCTGGGCTATGGCTAYGGGCTGGGAGGCCTGGGCTGCTATGGCAGAAGGGGCTGCAACATCTGCTAAGGGCCCTCAGYAACACCCCTGACACCAGCATGTCATGGCTCTGGCAACAACTCCTGCAAGCAAAGCACCTTGGATGGTGGTTGCCCTTCTCGCACAGCATACCAGATCCCTTCATTTTATTCCTCCTCCCTCTTGTTTGCTTCAATAAAGTTTTCTTGCATCAAAAGCTGAGATGTCTCCTCCTCTTTTGAATTGCAATGGTCCCACACATCCTCACCCAGCACAGTGCCACGAGYGGTCAGTGCATTCTGGGGGTGGAAAATGGACATAACGCTTTTCTTAGCAAACATGTCTTCACCTGTTTGGTGAAGTCTGTCAAGGCAAGTAGGGGAGGAGGAGGTCAACCTTCCAGCCCATGAAACACAAGCCCATCACCGGATGCACCAAATGTTTTGACACAACAATGCTGTCCTGCTCATTGTTCTGGCAAAGTCACTTCATGCCAGCACGCACTTGACAAACTCTCTTCCCAGTGSGACTCTCAAAACCTCCCAGCAAAGAAACCTAAATTAACAACTTTGGTGTCAACCCTGGATTGCAAGTGCTTCATTCTCCTCTGCCCAAGTRAYACCAGCTTGGACTTCCAGCACCATGGACAGTTCAGAATTAAATGCCCGACTACAGAGACTCCATCATATCTTCCCYWCTCTGACTTCATCCTCACAATGAARAGTTCTKGCCTTCWTTGTCCAGAATTGTGGAATTCTTCCTGTTTTAAGTTGCTGGTCAGTGCTGCGCCCAAGGCCTCGTGTCCTTCACATGTGCACTACAGAGAAGAGCCAAACTACCTCCACTTCATTSCCTGCCATCAGGGATTTGYACACACTGATAATAYCCCTCTGCCYAGCCTTGTCTCCTGCRAGTCCCAGCTCTCTCAATCCYCCAAGAMAGATTCTGTATCCCTTTCATTRTTTTGGTGGTCCTGAAMTAGTCTTGTTTCACTCAGTCAATAGGCTTCTTCCCCTGGGGAACCCACAACTGCCCACACCAACTCATGCCATTGTTGAGGATGTTGAACAGTGTTGGCCCCAAGGACATGGCTCTTGATCTAGTTCCTCTGAGACTTGACTCCAGCTGGAATTTGGATCACAAGGCTCTGGGTCCACAACATTACATATATGTAATGTAAATATAGCAGTCCACCTCACTGACCATTCTGATAACCAGTATGTTCGGGGATAGTGTGGGATGATGGAGCCGGAGACAGCCCTGAAAACTTTGGTAAGAGCTGGAGGTAAACACCAGCCATGGCTCTCTCATCAACAGTAAGATTTTTTTCTCTCTAGGTTCAACACTAAGACATGGTTTTGCCCTCCAAAATCCAGCTCCTCATAATTTCCTTGTATGACCTGCACTTGGAAATGCTATGGAGGGAAAAAAAGTGTCTTGTCTTTGAAGGAACAAAGTCCATGGAAAGTTGTTAGCCAAGTGGGAGGGAGTAAATGTACTGAAAAGGGCAGGTCCTGATGACCGGCACAGCTGCAAAGCCCAGAGCAGCCTGACAGGGCTGGGAGGGAATGGGGACACTCCTCTAAATGCAACCACAACCCACCCCACACCAGCACCATGGGGTGACCTCAATGAGGACACAGCACTTCTTCAAAGTTGGGTCAGACCTCCAGCCTGCCTTGAAACTCGCCATCCACACCACACTTTGTTCTCTAATGCACATAAAAGCTTCCAAACAGATCGGATGTACAGGACCTCATGAGAACAACATGGGATTCCACAAGGATGCGTCTGCAACGTGACAAACAAGAGAAGAGTAACTCACGGAGAATTCATTAGTAATAATTGGTTTTTGTTAAAAGGAACACAATAGTCAGATTTAATGAGTGCGAGTTACGAAACACTATGGCTTGATTGTGAAATTAGCGAATGGATGTCAGACATTAGCCTGGGAAAAAAGGGACTGGGCCCTGTTTGGTGTTCATTTATGGGACTTCTGAAAGAGATCAAGAGATACACTTTACCTAAGAGAGTACATCATCATGGAAATATGAATAACCTTGATGGACCATAACACTGGAACTAGCTCAGCCTGACCAACCTCTACTTTTTGACATTCTCTCTCTTAATCCCATTCAAGACAGAAGGCTATGAGCTCCATTTCATGAATCAGCAAGTCCTCCCAGGAACTGAGATTGATCCAAGCTTTTGCAAAATGACCTCCCCAGGACATCAGCATCTCCCCCAGCATTCCTGGGTGTAACACAAGGACTGATGGATGTTCAGTGACACAGAACAGAACCCAGTCATCAGAAGGCACCCACAAACCACAGCACACCAGTACCACATGATGACCTCACTGATGACATCACATCTCAGCAGGGCTCTGCTTTTTAATCAGCCCTCCATGACACACATCAACAATCAAATCCTCCCGAATACAAACTCATGAAAGCTGCTAACAAGGTCAAGTGAGTATGGCCGCGAAGCACAACATGACACTGCAGAGTTGTGGGAAGGGAAACACTCTCCAGCTCAGGACTCTGCCCAGCTGGCCAGGCAAGAGCTGCTGCCTGCAAAATGCCCCAAGGCCATGGGCCAAGGCTGTCCCACTCCTCCACGAGCAGCATAAAAGCCGGCCCAGCGCCTCTCTCCCTCACACGCTTCTCCTCACGCCTTCTCCTYCTGCTCCTGCCCACAACCAGGTGAGCCTCAAGCCCCTGCCCCTCCTGCTYCTGCCCCCCTGGCCCCTCTCTGCCAGCACGCTCCGCCCCAGCCTCAGCAGCCCTCACGCCTCCTCACAGCCCCACAACAGCCTCCACACTCCCCAGCCCTCTGCAATCACCGCCCCTCAAAGCACCCCCACGGCCCTGCCCTGCCTCACCCCCCTCTCTTCCAGGGACCCTCCACACCACACCCATGGCCTGCTGCCGCCCCTGTGGACCCACCCCGCTGGCCAACAGCTGCAACGAGCCCTGTGCCCTGCAATGCCAGGACTCCCGCGTTGTCATCAACCCTTCCCCTGTGCTGGTCACCCTGCCAGGACCCATCATGACCTCCTTCCCCCAGAACACCGCCGTCGGATCCACCTCCTCGGCTGCTGTTGGTAGCGAGCTCAATGCCCAGGGACAGCCCATCTCTGGGGGATTTGGCTTTGGCCTTGGCTACGGGCTGGGCTATGGCTACGGGCTGGGAGGCCTGGGCTGCTATGGCGGAAGGGGCTGCAACATCTGCTAAGGGCCCTCAGCACCACCCCTGACACCACCACCTCAGGGCTCTGGCAACAGAGATCCTGCAAGCAAAGCCCCTTGTCTGATGGTAACCCTGCTCGCACAGCAGACCAGCTCCCTTCATTTTCTGTCTCCTCTCTCTTCTTTGCTTCAATAAAGTTTTCTTGCATCAAAGCCTGAGATGTCTCCTCCTCTTGTTGAATTCCAGTAGTCTCACATCCTCACCCAGCACAGTGCCACGAATGGTCAGCACTTTCTGGGGGTGGAAAAGGGGCAGAGTGCCCTTCTTTGTAAATATACCTTCACCTGGAACAACCAAGACTGTCAAGGAAATAGGAGGGGAGGAGGGGGTCAGCCTTCCAGAACATGAAACACAAGTCCATCACCTGATGCACCAAATGCTTTGACACAACAATGCTGTCCTCTACATGGGTTTGTAAAGTCACTTCATGCCAGCGCACACTCGACAACATCTCTTCCCAGCAAGAATCTCAAAACCTCCCAATAAACAATCCCAAATCCCAAATCACTTTGGTGGGACCTCTGGATTGCAAGTGCTTCATTCTCCTCTGCTCAAGAATATACCAGCAAGATATGTAATTCCAGCACCACAAACGATTCAGGATTGGATGACCAAGGACAATGACTCCACCACCTCTACACCTCTCTGACCACCCTGACAAAGAAAAGTTCTTGCCTTTCTTGCCCATGGAACGCTGCCTGTCTTTACTTGTGCCCTAACCCTCTTGCCCTTCATGGTTGCACTGCTGAGAACTGCTGCAATTGCTTGACTTCATTCCCTGCCATCTGAGATTTGGACACACTGACAACAGGACCCTGTCCAACMTTGTCTCCTGCGAGTCCCAAGTCTCTCTATGCTCTATGAAACATCCTCCAGCCCCTTAAGCAGCCCTTGGCTGCCCTGAACTGCTCTTGTTTCACTAAGTCTCTCAGCTTCTTCTCCTGGGGAGCCCGGAACAGCCCGCACCAACTCACATCATTCCTGAGGATGTTGAACAGTGTTGGCCACACAYGGGAACAGTTCTTGAMCTTCCCTTGAGACTTGAYTTCAGGTGGACTTTGGATCACAAGTCTCTGGGTCCASAAYATTACATATTAGATAAGTACTGCAGTCCACATCACTGACCATTCAGACAACCTGTACATTCTTATTTGGTCTGGGGTGATGCAGTAGGAGACAGCCACAAAGACTTTAGAAGGAAGTGGAGTTGAGCCACGACTTTCTCATCATCTGCCGTAAGATTTTCTCCTCTGTAGGTAACACAGAGGTCACTAATATATTTTTTTCACTCCCCCAAATAAATGCTAACCACACTTCATCACCCCTTCATGTCCAACCCAGTCCTGGAAGCACCTTCCTGGTGAAAACATTTTGTCCCATCCTTGTCTGCATGAATGACTCCCCTGGAAAGCCATTGGCAAGGTGGGTGGGAGTAAATGCACTGGAAGGGGCAGGTCCTAATGACCGACACAGCTGCAAAGCCCAGAGCAGCCTGACAGGGCTGGGAGGGAATGGGGCCACTCTTCACAAGGTATTCACAAACCACAGCACACCAGTGCCATGGGGTGACCTCACTGAGGACACCGCACTTCTTCAAAGTTTGGTCACATCTTCAGCCTGCTCTGAAACTCGCCATGAATAACAGACTTTGKTCTCTATACTGGAAATTAAAAGCTTCTGACAAGGTCAGATCTACACGGCCTCAAGAGAAGAACATGGAATTCCACAAAAATGTCTGTGGAATGACAAACAGGAGAAGATGAACTCAGTGAGAATCCACTAGTAATAAGGGTTTTTTGTTAAAAGGAACACAATATTAAGATTTACAGGAGGTGAGTTATGAAACCGTATGGCTTGAATGGGAAAGTAGCGAATGGATGTCAGAAATCAGCCTGGGATAAAAGGGATTGGACCCTGTTTCCTGTTAGTGTACTGGATTTCAGAAAGAAATCAAGAGATCACTTTACCTAAGAGAGTACATTGTCACGGAAAAATGAGGAACCCAAATGGACCATAACACTGGAACAAGTTCAGGCTGAACAGCCTCTACTTTTCCAGATCATCTTC